ACAATGGTGGAAAGAGATCAGCGGCTCTCTACAGTTTGCACAGAAATAGTGAAGTGAGTTCACATCTGGGTATTCGATATCTTTCGAGTACTCACAAGTCGCTCAACAGGTTTTCTGATCCTGTTACTGGGATCTCAAAGCCCGTAATGGAATTCTGGCTCTTCTGAGAGTGTTTTGATTCAAATTTTTGCCTTTGTTTTCACTAGTCTTTCATATTTAGGTCTTTGCGCACCATATTCTGCGCCAATTGTTGAAACGAAATCTCGGTGTGTTCGCCTTGGAAGTGGCCTCAGCATGTCGTCATCTACCACATTTCGCTCACTCTCTTGAACTACTTCTGCATGGTGTGCTGGAGGAGGAGGCCACAAGCAGCGAGCCTATACCAGGTAATTTTGGCCTAAGGAGTACTTCAACATTCAGATTTATGATTTGAATTTGTCTACAAGTTGCATATTTTCTAGATCCCCTACTTCCGCGATGTGTTGCTTTCATCCAAGAATTTCCCGAATTCCTCCGTACGGTTGCTCACTGCGCTAGAAAAACTGAACTAGCGCTTTGGTCGTCTTTATTTGCTGTAACAGGCTCTCCCAATGATCTTTTTGAGGTATTTTATAGGTTTTTCCGAGTGCTGGTCAGGAGATCCATGTTCTGACGACAAACAGAATCTAGCTAGCGTTTCGTAGCTGGTTGACTCGGCATATGCTGCAGCACATCCATGTTTAAGTAGGTCCTGGTGCGAATGCCGCGTGTGACGTCAACCGCAACAAGCTTACGTAGCGTTGCCGCAAAGTGGATCTCCTGCACGGCACCTCTTTTCTCCTTTTACACTTCCTTTTTGCCTGGCAGCTCATTTGGACTACCCTCTCGATTACTACCGTACTCCCCTGAATTTCCAGGTGTGCCTCTACGTAGATGGACAACTACATTACAAGCTGCAAAGCTTATCGCATTGTGCTATCAGAGTATTGAGAATACGCAAACAAGTCAAGAGGTAAGCAAGATAATCTGGCAGAGCTGGAAAGTGAGTAAGGCTGTTGTCTCAGCAAGCTATTCGTCTTCTCCGAGAAGCATTAGTCCTAACAGCGTCGAGAATGGCGATATTGCCAAAAGATATGGGAGATTCACACGTGCCTATTGGATCAGAAGATATGGACTTAGCCGGCGAGGTACAAGTCATCCTTTTTTCCGCTTTAGAGTAGTAATTGAGAACGCTTCTGAACGATTTATGTCAGCGCTCTTTTTTGGGTAACAACTGATTCTATAATAGAACACCTCCGCCAATGAGGACATCATCCTCTCGACGTCACGCAACATCAATAAATAGTGTTGCTGAAGCCGATGATCTGGTCTTCGCTCGTTTCCAGGGAGGTGAGTGATTTTTCTTTTTCAAGGTGACATTGCTGAACTCTCTCTGAGACCACTTTAATTGTCCGCTGTTATAATCAATTTCCTCCTTCAGGGATAATAAATGGCTAGTAAGGTCGTAAAAATCCTTAAAAGCACAAACACGATAATATGGTACTCGGTATAAACTGGTTGCACGGATGCTATGTAGTGGGGGAAAATGGCGAAAAGAGAAGGGTAACGGTCGAAGACCTGCAAAAAAGCGTTTCTTCTAATACGAATACAGTGAGCAGTTTTGGATGAGGTTCCCGTTGGTATCGTGCCAATAACCGCTGCGGCTGAATTGATAAACTCATATATCCATAGCGCAGCGCAGCCATTGCATATAATACGTTCGCTGAATATTGCATTTCACAAATGAAGCGATACGAGCATCAGCATCAATCGGACATGTGTGGGTGGGCGGGGGCATGGGTGAAGCATCCGGATTTCGGGACATGTGCTGTAGATTGACAGAGCGCTACAAAGGTACTTTTTTTGGAAAATGTGCCACACAGCGCTATGCTCAGGGCTGAATTCTGTCCTAGTAGTCTTTTTAAATTGATTGACTCATTTGGTTAATTTGTGGTGCCACTTGCTATTAAACTTTGAAGCTGTTAGTTTAAGTAGCGATTTTCAGCTGTAGTCTCCTTGACTTAAGTAAAGGGTTAATCATGCGAGTACCTCGAAGCTAAAGGTTTTTGGCCATGGTGCTCAAACGCTATTTCTTGCAGGCAGTGAGCACGATTCCTGGCGCTGGATGTTTGTTGCTAGGGTCGTTGGTTGAAGAGATTGGCCAACCTCCGCTGGCGTTGGGCAATATGGTAGAACGCTCTTCTACAGTCCTTCCACTATGACGCTGGCAACAACCGCCTTTCTCCAGCCATCGTGCTCCTGCCTCTGAGTTACTAATTCGTATATTACTCGTTCATGTTCCATCTTTTGAAGGTGCCAGAATAACAAAGGTCCGGCATTCGCACGCTGACAATCGAGAATTGAATCGTAAGGACTCGGCAGGGAGCGGTAAACGAGCAACCAGGGTTGGTTTATTTTTTACCTTATGCATTTTGTTTACTTTCATTTCTTAGCGCAGTTCTGCCCAGTAAAACTCTGCAACAACATGAGCTTCTTTTACACTTGATAAGGGTCTACAGGTCCCACCATCGTGAGACGTGTAATTCAACAGGATTGAGCGAACGAAACTAGCGAAAGTGCAAAATGCCCCTACTAAGCCGAACAGCGTCCATATAATTGTTAGAAGAGCAGGCCAAATAATCTTCGAAAACCGAAGCTGTTGGGCATGGCTGAGCACGAGGCACAACGGCACAGGATCTGTAATAGTGCGCTGGCGTCTCTGATTTTGTGGCTGCGCATAACTAGATCAGTCCAGCCAAGGAACCGTCAGAGAGGCTGTCAGGACTCTTCTTACTCATAATTTTGTGCCTTGTTTTTCTGTTTTCTCATCGTGATACTCGAGAGTTGTACTCACTAGCATCCGTGTGTCTGCGATCTACAGAGTTTGATAAGATGGTGTCATGTGTTATTGTCTGTGAATTTTTAGTCGACATTATTGCAATCGCTGAATTGGTATTTCGCCATTAAGACGTTCTAATGAAGCTGGACCGCCTGATCTCGTAAGCTGGCAAAAACTTCATTCAGTCACACGAGAATGTCGGATTGTCATGCTGTTGTGAGATCTGGCCTAATGACGGCGTTAACGTCATGCCTGACTCTCCCGCTTTGGGATTCGAAAATAGAGGCTCACAAATGGTGCTGACATGCATCCCGATTTAGGCTCGGAAAAATACAATGTCCCACTGGAGAAAAAACACCGGTCTGCCGACCCAAATCAGCATGCTGTTTGCCTGAAAAGATCGGGCGCAATACTAGAAAAGCCATGCTGTTCAATTTGTTTAGAGGCGATCTACTGCTGTGTCAGACGATTTTGGTATCGGTACTCGTATTCTTCGTGGACTGTGACTAAGCAGTGCGTTGTTTCTTGAGAGCTGTGTTTGCAGGATATTTCGTGTCCGCTCTCGATCTCGATGTCTCCCGAATTCTAGTTTCGTCGCGAAAATTTGTACAAAATTTCCCAAATGCACTCACACGACTTCATTCTCAATTTGCTTGGCCATATCCAGTTGCCAGTAAAAAAGTAGTTGATCAGTTAGAGAAAAGGTTTGGCTCGATGAAATGTAGCCAAAGTGCGGCTTGCCTTAATGGTGGGTTTTCTTGCAATTTAAAAACCTTTTCATTGAATCAACCAGTAAAATGACCGATTGTTTTAGGAGCGTCTTCAGCAGAAGTGAAAAAAGCCTCAGTTCAGTCCATTCCCGTTCCTGTTACTCCTCAAGAAAAGACTAATATAAGAATAGGAAGCAGTTCACCTTCCAGTGATCATGTCTCAATAGAAGATGCTCATCTAGTGCCTATCCAAGAAAATGGTAATGTTCTATGATCTACCTATTAGTTTTTTTTGTTTGATTTTTGCCTCAAATTAACATATTAATTACATGTAATCCTTTTGATCAACTATTTAGTTTAGGGCTTGGATAGAGCCAGCTTTAGCCTACTTGTATTCATTTTGCTTCCTCAGAAGCGTTCAGAGTTCGCGATGAAGCGCATCGACGGGCTGTAACGCGCGTCGACGCGCTGCCATTGCAACCGCGTTCCACTGCTATGGAGTGGAACGCAGCCATAGAAACGTATCGATCGACATCGGCCCCTGCTGCTGTGAGAGAGTGAGGGTACCAGATTATAATATCAGACGGTATCTGCCCTCATATTCGCCTATATTCTCTCAAAGCAGTAGCGGCCGGCCCCGATCGATGGTCTTCTATGGCTAGTTTACGACATTGGAGCGCGATTGCTATAGCGCGTCAACGCTCGTTACAGCTAGTCGAATCCCGTCACGGCGAAGTATTAACTTGCCTTCTAGTGCAACGCTTCTTTTTAAGGCAATAATAATATCATGTCGGGTTCTATACTGGGATCGCCTTCTAGCAGTACAGTTGAGAACGTCGATTCTAGAAGCATCGGAAGCGATTGGCATGGTTGGTGGTTCCTTTCAGAAGTTCGCTGTTACTTGTTATTTCCGTTTTTTTCCAACAATCAAGAATGCTCTTTGAAGGCTTGAAATTCCTGGTAGGAGAGACCTCTAACAAAGGATCAGCAGAGAGCTTAGCCCAAATGTCACATCTGATGACTTGGTTCTCTAGTGCTGGATGTTTAGATTGGATTTTCTTGGTAAGTTTTGTGGCTGGATTTGGGGGATGTTCAAGGAAATGATGTCCCTTTGCAGATTTGCGTAGTCTCTCGAGATGTTCTTCAATTGCGTCGCGAGATCAATTCAGAATCGGTCAAGAAAGCCGGTGTTGAGGCATTCAAGCACACAGTGTCTGGCTGCGGAAGAACTTCTTGAATGGGCGAGAGAGAATTGGTAATCTTTACTTGATCTTTTCTTTACACCTCTCTAAAACCCACGAGGCTGGGGTAG